TTTGGGTACTCAGATTCTGGGGCTTTTAGATATGCTAGTCGAGGGCCAAATGATTAGTAAACTAGTTTTATAGCTTAAAAAGTCGTACAGAGAGGCGTCGTTAAGAGTGGTTACTAGGACGAATTCGGTTGAAGGTTGTTAAAGTTGCCAACTTTTTGTAGTATGGAAGAAGTGTGCTCATTAATTGCTCATTGCAGATTATTTTTGTCATCAAAGGCTCACTAGGATGATTTGCCAAATCAATAGAAGGTAGGGATTTATTGAGCAATGGGTTCATTTTCATCATCAGCATATTTTAATATCCCCGCATTTCAGCTTCTGGCAGCTCAGAAAAAAAAGAGGGAAAACAATCAATATCGAATTCCATCATGTGCATTATGAGTACGTCAAAGGTCCTTTACATCAATGTCAAAGTGTCTCGAGCAAAAAGGAGAAAGGCCGATAACTGTTAAATTCGTTTGATATTTTTCTGGTTGAGGTAACTTGCGTTACCCGTCTCGAGCCACACATATTTTAAAGTTCGGTTCAGGTTAACCCAGGAAGAGGCTTCGTGGTCGAAACAAATATTGTCTCATATACACATTGCGGGGGATTGACGGCAACAATCTGCGGACGAGATTTACCTCATTTATTGGGGCATCTTGCACTGTTTACCTCTTGTATTTGTTCATCGATAAGGTAACCCTTTGTATTATATACTTTAACAATAAAACGACGGCGATCGACTTCTATTAACCAAGAGCAAGATGGCTAGGAAAACAGCCATTTCCGGGCTTTCCATTGGCTGACTATCAAGATATATATGCAGAGATAAATGCCTACAAGCAGGGAAAAGGACGACTTTTTTAATAAATTAAAAGACAGAGACTGCTACGTTTCTTATCTAAGAGCTCCGAGTATCTATGAAGGAAATGAGGTCAATAAAAACTCAAGTAAATTTAGTTGGGTTGTGTGTACAGTAAGAACATGTATTAGGTTGAGGAATAAAATCATAGCGTTTTTATATTTTCTTATATTTTCAACAATGTTTTGCTGTTTAACAGAAAGTATAGTAATTTT